CTCTTCTGTCTCTATCTGTCCTTCCCTTTCCCCTAAATTAACAAATTAAGCAGAAGAAACAGATTTCTCATACACTTCCTATCCCTATAATACAGGGGTTCCCCAAAGTCCCCCATGTGAGTGGCATATTTGTTACAAGTGATGAACCTATGTTAACACATCATTATCACCCAAAGTCCATCATCTGTATTAGAATTCACTCTTGATGTTGTATATTCTGCTTTTGACAAATTAATGATATGTTTTAAATAATATAGTGTTATTGAGAATACTTCCACTACCCTAAGGATTCTCTGTGCTCTCCCTGTCCATCTCCCCTAAAACCTGCCAACCATCGATCATTCAATTGCCTTAGTCGGTTTGCCTCTCCCTCTCCCAGAATGACATATAATTTGAACCATAGTATATATAGCCTCTTCAGATTGTTTTTTCCCTCTACAATTTAAGTTTCCTCCATATATTTTCAGTTTTGTAACTCATTTCTTTTTAGCATTGAATAATCCATTATCTAGACTTATCTCAGTTTAAAATCATGATTTCTTCGACTCAAGTCAAATTTTCGGTTTAGAGTCATGGTTTCAAGTAGAAAATATGCTTTCTTCTAAGACAAAGCTAACTCCACAGACTGAATCTTGTCCTCTCTGGCTCTTTGCTTCAGTTCCTTTCCCATGTCCGCTCCTTCCTCCTTCTCTTTACTTCTTCTCAGCTCTCACCTTCTTCCTTTCACTCCTCTTCCCACTAATCCTTGCGGGGTTTTGTAGTCTGTCTTCCATGTTAGAATGTACCCTTCTTGGGGGCAGGAGTAATGACTCCTTCATCTAGTGAAGCCATAGTCTTTCACAGAGTAAACCATTAAATCTTCACTTACTTGAAACACAAAGAGTGGTTCCTGGTAGACTTTCCATTTCCTAAATGACTCCTGCACTGAATTGGTAAACAGCCTCAAGATACAAGTTCCTTGACTGTTTTTATGTGTTTGTGTTTGCTTATGTCAGGTAAGTATTGTAAAAGAACATGAGGTATGCATTCTTATTACCTCCGTTTTACAACAGTAGCACAGCAGTGTCTAGGTGACACAGGAGAGCATAGAGTAAACAATATCAAATTCAGTTAGAAAGAAGAAATCTTCAGGCTGTAGATACACAAAAGCATAGCAAGAAGTCTTTCCCCCAATCAGTCTCTGCATTGATTTTTCAGACAATCGTTCAGAGAAGACTAAGTAGAGTCAAGAGATGAGGTGAAGTGGGAACATGGGGAAAGAAATGATGTGGAATATCTTAAATGTGAACTATAATAGGGTTTGTTGGATCAGCACTGTTGTTCTAGGTAGACACAACTCAATCATGAGAAAGAATTACCCTTTTGACACAGGGCCACTTTCCTAAGACACTGCAATTGTCATCGTGGAGCACAGGAAGTTCTGAAGAGTATTTCAGGCATGGAAAGCCACGAAACTGAGGCAAAAAGGGTCCTACATGAAAGACCTCTGTGGGTGAGACCTCAGTGGAAAGAAGTGGTCATCAAAGACGGATGCACTTTTCTCTGAAAGGAGAGAACTTTCACTTTGCTTATGATCTTGTCTAAATATTGAAGTAGTTTGTGGACTCAAAAAGCTTCCATAGCCTAGGCAACTCATGTCAAGAGCCTCAGATGATCAGTGACATCATACATAAGTGTGTTAATTGTTAAATTAACAACAGGAGTCACTGTGCACTAACTTCTCATGGAGGACCTCAGTCCTCAAGACTAGCATTATGAGAGTTAATAGTAATACTTATTCTCAAAGATTCACTTCATTTTAAATGGATTAAGTGGATTAAGTGGAGGATATTCTTATGTCCTATAAGTTTAAATAAGCCTAAGTGCTCAACTACGTTGCCTGTCTCTTTAGGTGCTTCTTTGATTAATGATGAAAATGGTTCCCAAAGAAAAAAATGTTTATTATCACAAAAATTAAAAGAAAAATAATAAGGGAAATAGGAGGAAGGATGGGAATGAGGGGGGCAGGGAGGATGGGGTGGGAAGTGGCATTATGTACTTAAAACTGTATTATGAGATACATGAAATTTGTTCCATTTATATTTTAAATCAAAAAGAAGAATATACAAGAAAACAAATGATCATAGAATCTATGAAATAACTGTCTGCCACTCTGTGGGAATTAACAATAAATTCATGGAAAACGCAAGTCAGTTAATGAGGTTTGACATCAGGCTGGATAAACTTTATGATGATATATAGGACCCCAGAAGGAGCAGGACGTTGCATCAGATTTCACATGTTTTATGGAACTATAGAAAGAAAGGCAAAACAGAAAAAAAAATCTCCAGGTGAAACTGTTACTAGATTGAAAGTGGAGTATTCTTTCTTTCTTAACGTTCTTGAGTGGTACTTGAAGATAAAATGCCATAGGCAGTAATATATAGGGGCCTACAAAAGTTGCAATCTCTATATGGACTGCAAAACCCAAGATGAAAATTATGTTAAGCTTTTACCAACAACTTATATCCATCATGACAAGTCATTTTAACTGGACATTAGAGTGAAAATAAAACCAGCAACTAACATAAGCCTGGCTCTTTCATAAAGCAAGAGGAGGTGCATGTTACTCAACTCATCCCTCCCAAATCTTTATAGGCATGAGGTTGGGCATGATCTATCTACCCCTACCTTGTTCACATCACTTAGTGCCTCTAGGCCGCTGGAACTTCATGATCGAGGCACCAGTCTTGCTCAGCTCCTGAGACCTACATTTCCTGCCTTCAAGTTGAACATGTTGCTCCCTCCAATGAGAATCCTTTTTGTCAGCTCTTCTCTCCTGAGAACTTGTGGAAATGTCGCGAGATGTTTTTGTCGTAACTGAGAGGAGGTGCTACTGCTGTCTATATAAAGACCAGAGATGCTGCTGGACACCCACACTGCACAGAGCAACTTCTCAAAATAAGGGATTAACCATCCCTAACTGTAAATAGTGCCAAGGTTATGATGCAATGGGTTAGGCCCCGACCTGCAATATTCTCACCCCATAAGCTCATCACTTCCAGTCCCAGCTGCTGAACTTCTGACCTAGCTCCTAGCTAATGTTCATGGGAAAGCAGTGGAAAATGGGCCAAGTACTTGGACCCCTACAACCTACTTGGGAGACCCAGATGAAACTCCTGGCTTTAACCCAGACCAGCCCTGGCCATTGTTGCCATTTAGAGAGTAAATTGGAAGATGGAAGATCTCTTTCTCTGTCTCTCTCTCTCTTTCTATGTAACTCTGCTTGAAAATAAATAAATCTTTATACATACACACGTATATACATATACATATGTGTTTATGTGTGTGTGTGTGTGTGTGTGTGTAGTACCAAGGTTAGAAAACTCTACTCTTGATTACTTCTATCTATACTTCTGTTTTCGACTTTAAGGTCTCCTCTAGGAAGCCTGCTTTGGTCTCCTTAAGTAGTTCAAGTAGCTGAAGTCACCTTGCATTTCTACTTTGTAGCAATTAACAAAACTGAACTCAAATTTTCTGTTTAAGTATTATGTAACTCAGTCACAGCACTAACTAGAAGAATCTTCAGAAAGATGTTTATACTATAACTGATCAAGAAACACTAAATAGTGTTTTCCCTATTCAGCGCTGACCTATTTTATTTTTAGTTGACTTCTGATAAATTCCCTGTTGCATCTTGCATTACACCTACTCCCTAAAATTTCACAGCTATCCAGAAAGCCCCTTTCACTTGATTTCACTCTTGGTTTTCTTAAATCCAAAGGACAAGTTGAAAGTTCTGGTTCATCCCTGGACCTCACATTTTTCAGGTTAGAGCATTGGTATGGCCAATATAACCTTCCCAAGGATATTTTTTGTGAATGAAGTTTACGTTTCGTAGAAAACTGTGATGTGCTTTCACGCCCATCAAATACTGCTTTCAGTAGAGATGTGATTGAAGAGGAGCAAAGCCTGTGAGGCATCCCAAGCCTGCTGCACCTGTAGGGAAGAAAAGGACAAAGGATGTCGAGGGAGAAGGGTCCCCATAGCTGGAGGACATAGCTTCAATCCCTATTCCTAACTCCTAAAGAGTCTACCTCACTACCTCCAAGCTTGATCCCCTCTGTCTACATAACCTCTCCTGTTTCATTGTCTTACTCCATAACAAATTTTAACAAAATACCATAGTCTGGGTGGTTTATAAACATAATTTTATTTCCCATGGTTCTGGAGGCTGGAAAGTGCAAGATCAAGGTGCTGGCGTATTCAGTGTCTGGTGAGAACCCACTTCTGTATCATAAAAGGCTGTATCTTTGCTATGTCCTCATATGGTAAAAGGGTGAGGTTTCTCCCTAAGATATATTTTGTAAGGCTATTCATTACTTCATAAGGGTACCACCCTAAATCCTACACCAATTACCTCCCAAAAGTCTCAATACCAAAACTGTTAAAGTAAAAATTAGGTTTCAAAATATTCATCTTTTGTGGGGAAAAGGACATTCAGTCTAGTACTTAGTTTGGATCGCATCCTTTCTTATGCTATGTCTCTTAGTTGAATTTTCTCTAGGCTCTTTAGCATAGTGTGTCTACTGTATCTCAACATCTTTCATGATAAATCTAATGAGTTTGTCTGGTGTTTCCTCCTAGAAAATTTTGAGCTTCCATACTTGAGGGATGGCAACTTGATTATTTCTCTATGCCCAACATATGCATATATTTCCTAGACGCAGCACAGTGACCATGTTCCATTCTAAAATGACAAATGTTCATTAGAGGGAATCACCCTAATTTACAGCTGAGAGTAATAATTTTACCCAAGTGTGTTATGGTAAAATTCTGGGATATTTTGAGAAATCTTTCAGTTGCAAATCTCCAAAGACAATGGCCTATGTATAGTATTAACATATACTCCATTATTTGAAATGACCTTCATAAAATTGGAAAAGCAATTGGCTAAGAAATATATGGATAATATTTAACCTCATGAATAATCAAATAAATACAACTTTAAGGCATCTGAATAGTATTTTGGCTTAGTTTTTTAAAAATGAAATTACACTATCTAATATTTGCAGGACACATAGGAGGACATATAGCCATTCTCATTTGTATTTGAAGTGAAAATTGCTTTAAAGTATTTTGAAATGCAATTTGGAAGTAAGTAGAAAAACACTTTAAAACCATTGATAACAACATTAAAAGTTGGTTATCTATTAGAGCAAATACAAATTAGAACAACGCAAGATTTATGCTTATCATCAGCAAGATTTAGTGTTCTTCAATTATGTGTGCAGAGAAGCTCCTCTCTGGTATCTAAGTCTACTTGCACAACTTCCTTGAACATCTCTGGTCATGTCAACATGCAGGCAATAAAATCCTTCCTTTCTTCTGAGAAAAACGTTTATCTTTGAGATGTTTTCTCTGGGTATAGAAATGTAATTTGAGGACTTTTTTTAATCGTTCAGCACTTTAAATATTTCATGCTTTGACATCTTTCTTATTATAATAAGCAGTCTGCTGTATTTCTTCACTTGATCCTTAATGTGTACCATGTATTTTTCTATCCATAATAGTCATCAGTACTTTGTCTTCCTCTCAGGTTTTGTACAATTTCAGTACTATCTGTCCATGCAAGTGCAGTGTGTTACTGTGTGTGTATATTGGTAACAATTCTCCTTCATCCTCCACAAACTTGATGAAACTGATTTCATATCTATTAACTCTGGAAAGTTATTGGCCAGGATTTTACATAGAAAAAAATTTGTTTCATTTTCTCCCTCAGCTAATTGAGTTAAATATATGTAATAATGAAAACAAATTTTTGAATGTTGCAAATTTCAAAAAGGAACTCAGAAGTATCACATCTCCTCCTCCTTCTGCCTTTTCGACGTCTGCTTCTCTTTCCGTTCCTTCTTTTTCAGGTGATTTGATCACAAAGCAAGATGGTAGCACCAGGACCTAGAGACAACAGAACTGAGTAGATGAGGGTACAACACCTGGTGATGAAATAAATCTCAATAGTAAACTTGGGAATCTGGAAGTCCATGTAACCAAACCACCATCAGTCACAGGACTACATAATATTTTAAACCCTTCTAACAAAAAGTCATCAAAAGAATGTACTGGGGAAATGGTTAATTAAATGCAGAATCTAATTTCTTGGAAAGCCTTGGAAAGAGGTTTAAAATAAATCTTTTTCACTTGAATTCTTTAGGTTGTTTACTTTTCTTTGGGTTCTAATACGCCCCATTTTCATTTAAAACCTAACACAGGAAACATTATTTTTATACACTTAATTTTAATTTATAATTTTATATACTTAATTTTATACATGTAATTTTCATAAAGATGTACTTTGAGTTTACTTGATGATCATAAAGTTAACTCTACATTAAGAACAGAGTTCAACAAATGAGGAACATTATTTTTTAAAAAACAACATCATTCTTTGCTATTTAATAATTGCTGGAGACTCCTCAGATTCTTTTTCCTTGATCTCTGAGGCTAATTCAATTCAACTAGTCAGTCATTCATGGAGCACCTACTGTGTGCCGTGTGTAAAATTGAATAGGCACATGTGTTAGAATTGACTTAAATACCATATACCAGAAACACATGCAAGGAAACAATGTAGTATTTCCTAGAATGACACACAAAAAAACTGATGTCTGATCTTGGCTTTGAAGAAATAGCAGATTAACAAAAAAATTTAAAAAGGAATTAGAATTCATGCCAGGTTGCAGGTGTACAGAGACCAGCAAAAGGCTTCAAAAGCTGTAGGTCAATGTACACTTGGTCAATAATTAAATCAAGCTAACATGTACATTACCTCACACTGCTCTCACTTTTGCTGTGAGAACACTCAAAATCTACCCTCTTGATATTTTCAAGAGTATAACTTTATTAACTAAAAAAATCATGTCAAGGCATGTATCTGAGATAGTTTCTTACAATGCTTGGGACACCTGCACCCCATGCTAGAGTGCCTGTGTTCAAGTCCTGGCTCTGGTCCTGATTCCAGCTTCCTGCTAATGTATACATGGAAGGCAGCATGTTATGATCTGATTGTTCGAAACCCTACCACCCATATAGGAAAACTGGACTGATTTCTTAAACCTGGCTTCCACCTGCCTAAGCCCTGACAGTCACAGGCAGCTGGAGAATGAATCACTAGATAAGAGTGCTCGCTCGCTCCCTCCCTCCCTCCCTTTCTTTCTTCCTTTCTCTCTCCCTCTCCCCCTTTGAAATTAACAACAAAAAAGATACTCACATTGTACAATAAATCTCTTGAAATTATTACTTCTGAGTGACATTTAGTATCCTTTTATCAACATCTGCCTAACCCACTTCTCCAACATCCCTATGCCTTAGGCCCTGGTAGCCACTGTTTTTCTCCCTATTTCTATTCAATTCTTTTGTATTCTTCATGTAAGGGAGATCAGAGATCATGTAATATTAATCTTTCTTTGCCTGGCTTATTTTATTTGACTTAATGTCCTCCAGTTTCATATGTGTTGTCTTGTGCCTGAATACTATTCTATTGTGGCATTTAATTTCACATTTTCTTGATCCATGTGTCCTCTGCTAAGACCTTTCGGTTGATTCCATATCTTGACTATTTTGAATAGTGCTGCAGTGAACATAAGAATGTAGGTATCTCTTCAACATAATGATTTAATTTCCTTTGAGTATTTATCTAGTGGTGGAATTATACGGTAGTTCTATTTTTCAGGACTCATGGCTGATTCTAAGTGAGCAGGTGGCTGTGAGAAACGGAGTTTAATCTCTGTTCCTAGAGAAATATTTCTAGTAGGATGCCTGGGCCTGTGGTAGAGCAACCAGCATCAGGTGAAAGGGAGTCTGACAACTCCTTCTAACCTATCAGTTGTGTCATATCCAGCATACCACCTAACTGTATAAACCTCACCTTTCTCATCTATGGAGACATTAATCCAGTGGTATTGTTGAAGGCAAAAATGTACAGCACTTGTAAAGTTGTTAGTCTAATATTTACATCATAAATATTGGTTAAATTAACAAATATTATAATTCCTGGCAATTTGAAAAAAATGTTTATATATCTTAGTATTTCTGTTACCCATAGTTGATCCTCTAATCCGTTGGATTCACGAGGATACTATGAGGCAAATCAGGCAAGCATAATTGTTCCTATTTTAGAAATAAGGAGGCATGCTCAGAGAGGCTAAACATGACTCTTAAAAGTTACACAGCACAAAACTAAACTTAAGAGTAGTTTTCATGTCTTCAGACTACGTTTTAAGTGATTTGTATTATACCATCCATCCTATTATACCATCCATTCTTTTTTTCCACAAATAGTTATTGAGTTCTTGTGATGAGCAGGTCTCTGTGGTGACTCAGTGTCATAAGGTTGGGGGCCTACATAGCTCACAATCCTGCTCTTTGTGTCTTTCCCACCTCCCCCTTTAGGAGGGAATGTGATCTATTCAGCTCTTTCAGTGGAAAGTAGAAGATAGCCTGGCACAAAGTTTAAATGTTCATTAAATGGCTAGTGAATGGGACCAGTGGTGAATGGATAATTTTATTACAACACATCTGTGACAACTCTCCCAAAAGTCATGGATATTGAGTAAATGGAGAGTCCCCTACTCTGCACAATGAGAAACGTGCAATAATACAGTCTTTGAAGTTAAGCAGACCAATATTCAATCTCAGTTCTGTGTAACTTCGGTTGGCTTCCTTAATCTCTACAAACTTCAGAATGTTTATCTGGAAAAACATAACCAATAATACTTGCCATGAAGACTTCTTTTGGTAACTAAATGAGTCAACCAATTGTAAGCACCTGGCTTAGTATGCGGGCACATGGGAAGCTCCCAATCAGTAGTAGAGATTACTACTTGTGCTAGGCTACAGAGAAAGGTAACATTGATCTGAGCTTTGCAAGCGTGGTAGGTATGCAGCAGGGCTATCACCCTAGCCAGAATTATGGCTGGAATATTCCAATGGGTCAAGCAACACTCTGAACACAGGGTTCTTTCTCAGGCTGAGAGATCCTTTGCTGATCTTTCCTTCTGCTCTATGCATGGGAGGTTGGAGCAAGCACTGACCTTGAAGAACTACTGCATTTCACTCTAGGGCTGAGTCATGCTGACTTGTACCCAGTACAATTTGTGCCTACATCCTGAGAGTGCAGAGGTCTGTAGGCGCCACAAAAATGAGTTCTGGCTTTTTATCCCCTTTGCTACAAAGGCCAGAGTCACACACATAGAACAGAAATGTAAACATACTCCCCAAGCCTCTGTTTACTCTCAAATTGGCCAATGTTTCCTGCCCCATCAGCCCATGCTCCCAACCTCCACTAAGCCTCAAAGACTGGAAATGCAAATGAGTGAAATCCTCAATGGCTATTGATTCAAAGAGAGGTTTTCGGATTGAAACCTAGGATTTTTTAAAAAGGTTATTTATATTATTTTTAGTAAGAAGTTGTACAAAAATTAATCCTCTATTATAGTTTTGAAATGGATGGAAATATTTTTATAATAACTGAATGCAGAAATAGAAAAAAGAGTACCTTAGGAATCCAATGAATAAAAAGTGGGGCAAATTAAGCGATCAATAAAAAGAAAATAAATAAAGTTGTGGCATACACATTTATTGGAATATTTGCAAACCCTCAAATGATTTTAGTTGAGTAACATCATAAATTGTCTAAAATACACTATGTAAGAATAAATATTAGAAACTTCAGCGCATGGTGAGGCTCTAGTTATAATACATCTGTGAAATATACACAAAAGGATACTTCTGTATGGAATTATAATATTATTTTCTTTTACACCTAATGTTTATTCACATTTATATAATATGTACTTAAATTATGTATAGTGAACTTGTTTAATGTATAATGTAATGAATGTTCAATCACCTTTGCCCTTAAAGTTATTTAGCAGATAAATTAATAAGAATTTAGTTAATAAGTACTTACCCCTCATAAAGTTCTGATCCATTCCATAGACATGAACTGAATAAAGGATGGTAAACAAATGTGGAAACAGTGAGTTGACAGTTGTGTTAGTTGCCAAATTGTTGGAGAACATTCTATAGAATAAAAACATTTGAAAACATTTCCTGGATTGTGAGGAAATTAAAGTGTTGATACTGTCTCTGTCACTAAATGGATCTTGAGTAGTTTATTCTCCCAATCTTCCAGTCTCTCCATTTGTAAAATGAGGAGAAATCATTTTTTATAGTCATTATAATCCTCATTCAGTCATTCCTGTATTCCACAAATATTTCATGAAGGTCCTCTGTGGTCAGGTACTATTGTAGGCAATGTGAACAAATCGGTGGAAGAAATAGTTGTGGCTCCTTAGGGAGCTTGTACAAGCATCTTCAAACACTTCATGGAAAATGCGTATTTTGAAAAAAAGGGAAAAAAAAGGTGCATAATCTCAACATTTTTGCACTAAAATAATCTTCTAATACTATTTTTCCAAGAACTTTTTGAAGAACTTTTATATTCTAGTGGGGAAGACAAACCATGGACTACTTCCCAGATCAATATATAAAACGGTTTCCGGTGCTATGAAGAAATACGAGGCAGGATAATGAGAAAGAGAGCAAACAGCAAGGTCTCTAGGGAGGTGATGTGAAGGCAGATCCCTAAGCTAAACATAGGAGCAAACTGGGCTGTTGTCCAGCAGGGAGGGAGGTGTCCCAGGCAGAGGAAACAGTCTGTGCAAAAGCCCGGAAGGAAGCAAGAGTGTGGTAGGAGTAGACAGAGCCAAATGAAGGCTGATGGAAACGAAACTTAATTCTTTTGCACTCTAGCTTAACCAACCAGAGTCCACCCAAGAGCCAGTTGGCAAGCTCAAAATGCTGCCAGAGATCTAAAGTCCAAGGCCTTCACACAGGGAGTGCATTTACAGAAACTTCATCAGCCCGACTGCAGGACTTTGAAGGCCCGCTGTGCAACTATTAGCTGATCCCACTTGACAAACAGTGACGCAGTCACTAGGCATGTTTGTACCTAAGCAGGTGATGATTTTCTCTCTGCTGACTCCAGTCAAGGACTTTTTCTTCCAGATTCCAGGTCCAGGTGCCACTGGGCACAGGCGATCAGGTGGAGAGTAGAACAGGTCACACGCTGGACAGGTGACATGATCTGTACTCAGCTCACATTTCAAAGAGGCCCCTTTTCCTTCCATATGTCAAGCACACAGTTTGAAGGCTGCACACAGAGTAGGATGATTCATCGGTTTCCAAACCCTTGGGAAAGGAATCTATTGTTAAGGTTTTTTTAAAAAAATATCTTTTCTTAATGCCTACAGAGGTGGCTATTGCTCAGGATGACAAACTGGGGTGAGGGTAAGGACAAAACAGAAGAAATTACTGCCATCCATAATTATAAGCCTTATCATCTATTGTGTGCCAACAGTGGCATTTCCAAGCAGACTTTATTAATTAATTAAATAATAAAGCAATTTGCATTCATCCTAATTCAGAAGAATTTAAACTGCTTCAATCAACCTAACACTGGAAACTCCGAGTTACTACTTCTGCTTTTTTGATAGTTGGGGAAACCAAGGCTAGTAACTGAATGGGTCATGAAAAGAAATAAAGTAAAAGAAACATTATCCAAAGCTTCATAGAAATAAGATTGTTGTCAAAGTTGATAATGCATTGAGATAATTCATAGAGATACATTAAAAACAAGAAACAACAACAAGGAAGCAGAGATATTAGGTTAACCTGTCCGTACCACTATCAGCTTCTACGCGTAATCTTATCTCTCTGAGTCAGTCTCCCCAACTGTGAAATGGGGTTGTCCACCCGACCTGACATTAGGGTTCCACAGAATAAATGAGGAACATATGTGCCTGCGAAGTAGGCATTGTTTGTGATGTAATTGGATGCTGCCCAGAGCTCAGGAGAAGGGCCCCTTCAGGAGCAGATGGAGTCTCTGTAATAACCTAGTGTGTGTAGTCCCTGATGGTTCTGGAAGGAATTTTATTCAGGAAAGATGGGGCCACACATCACAAAATACTGTTAAGGAGAATGTCAGAAGCCTAGTTGGGTTTCCAATTTGAGACTTGAGGAAAGATCCTAGCGGGTGCATTTTCAGTAAAAAGGAAACAGCTAGGAGGGGCTTAGAACAAAGTTGGATGTACATGGACTTGACTCTGGAATGAACTTGACTTAAGAGATCATGCTAGCTTCCTTACACAGAGAAGTTCTGAGAGATTGAATGCTCAGTCCTGTAAAATTAGAGCTTGCAATATACATTATATATGAAAAACAACATTCACAAATACCTTTATTTGTGGACCCTGGGGAAACATGTACTTTAGGCAAACAAAATTAACACAGGTGGCCAGGACTGTTTTTTCCACATTAGTTTCTGTTTTGTTTTTGAACAAAAGGATCAGCCACTATGAAGCAAACAGTTGAGAAAAAAAAATTGTTACCCTTTTATAAAAATCTGAAACAAAATCTTGTAAAGACTGTTTTTCAAATGGAAAGACACAGAAGAAGAAAACAGAAGCTGAGAGAGATTTAGTCTGGTTCCCCAGATTACAAAGTATAGACAGGGGTTCGAGAGAATTCTGCACCAGATTTTGCTTTCCAAACACAGGATCTTGCTCCTCACAACACACTCCACCCCAAGTCCTAGCCAGCTCCTTAAAGGGCAGAATGACTGTCACTTTTGAGTGTTAAGTTCAGACCATTCTAGATTCTCATCCCAAAGAGAGGAAATGAAAGGCATCATGACTGGACAAAAGCACCCTGGGTGTTTGGACGCAGGGATTTGGCTATGCTATCAGATCATGCCATCATGATCATCACATCAACCAGCCTCATCAAGCATCAATTTCCTTGTCTGTTAAATACAGATAATAGAGATTACTCCACTGATTTGTTTGAACATCAGATTATAAAAGGATATTATATACAAAAGATGCTGATAAAGATTCATCAAAGGAACATTCCTATTCTTTCTACTTCTCCTCTCCTCTTTCTCCTCTGTGCGATTATTGATATTCTTTTCATTCTTCACATCATTCAATGACCAGAAAGTAGCTTCTCATTTCATCCTGGTCTTCATTATACATATCTGACTTGATTCCCTTTACTGAGTTCCCAGAGTTTGACAGCAGCAAAGACTGTCTTATATTGGCATCATTTTATTTTTTAAAAATTGAAAGCACCCCCTTATATTTTTTAAGATTTATTTATTTACTTGAAAGGTAGGTAGGAAGGTAGATGGATAGATAGATATAGATTCTTCCATCCACTGGCTCAATTGCCAAATGGCAGCAATGGCCGAGGTTGGGCCAGTCCAAAATCAGGAGTCAGGAGCTTCTTTCAGGTCTCCCACATGGCTGCAGGGGCCCAAGCACTTGGACCATCCTCCAGTGCTTTTCCAGGCATGTTTGCAGGGAGCTGGATTGGAAGTGCAGTAGTCAGGACTTGAACTGGTGCACATATGGGATGCCAGTTCCGCAGGCAGAGGCTTAACCTTCTATGCCGCAGAGCTTCACTCCTCTTTTAAAAAATTATTTATTTATTTATTTGAAAGGCATAGCAACAGAGAGAAAGGGAGAGACAGAGAAAGAGATCCTCCACCTGCTGGTTCACTCTCCAAATGGTTGCAATGCCCAGAGCTGGAACAGGTCAAACCAGGAACTCCTTCCACCCAGGACTCTCAAATGCGTGGAAGAGGCCAAGGTATTGGACCATCTCCCACTGCTTTCTCAGGATCTGAAGCTGAGAGCTGGATTAGAAACAGAGTAGCTGGGACTCAAACCAGTGCTTCAATATGGGGTTCCTGCATCACAGTTGGCAGCTTAACCGACTGCACCACAATGCCAGGCCCTGGCAGTATTTTCCTTAAAGCAATATAAATCTTTCTGAATGAACTGCTAGAAGGCCAGAGCAGGATGGTTACAGGCTCTGCACCTAGTCCAATTATTCAACTAGGAGAAATAATGTAAGGGTCCCATGCCTTCCCTACTTGCTGCCTGTCATGGACTAGAATACTGTATTCTATTGCTTTGAATTACTTGTGATAAGAAGGGAGTGTTAGTTAAATATTATCTACCTAGTATTACCCTTTGTATAGAACACCTGTCAGCCAGAGGTTTCACATTAACCTACATATACCTCATTATCTAAAAGGTATGCTCTGTGCTATCAGTACGCAATCTCCTCCCCAGCCTCAGTTTCCAAAAGAGGCAGGATTCTTTGGTTGTCTCCCTTAGGCTGTTATCTCATATCTTGAAGTACTTGGTAGCACCATTGAATGGAGGATTATTTTTCTCTTTAGATCCAGAGAGAGTGAGATCTGAGTCACTGGGGTGGGGATCCAGGCCCATGCTTTGAAGATGATGTTGGTGGTAAAGAAAATGATTCTCCTGATCACCTGCTGCATGGCTTATGGTTCTTATGTCTTTACTGATCTAATTGAAACCAAAATACTGGCTAGCATTTTTTTTATCGAGGTAACGCAAAAAACATATAAGAGTGGTATAAATAATGGACAATGCAGTTTTCTCACCAAAATACTTCTAATGGTAGGATGTTTCCAGGACTGGCTCCACAGCTTCAGATTCTGCCATCTCAGCCTGTCGGTTTTTGCTTTCAGATTTTTCACTGCATGAGTGCTGGGTGGCTGTTGTAGTTCAGGCACCACATTCTTTCATAATGGCATGCAAAAATAGGAAAAGGGAACGAATGTCCCCGGGTGCGTTCATTTTTAAGAAAAAGGGAGATTTTTTTCGAGAAGCTTCCTGAAGGACGTTCTTCCAATGCCTCATTGACTCTATTCCTATGACTGAGCCATTCATAGGCAACAGTTGGCATAAATTAGCCAGCCACACACACACACACACACACACGCACACACTGTTCCAAGGCTGAAGAGGGACCCAGACTCCTTTAAAGAAAGATAATGCTGACCAATCTATCATGATGTAGGTCCCATTCGCAAGGCAAAAGACGGAGAATAGCAGTCAGTTAAGTGGCCTTACCTGGTCCTACTTAACAAATGAAAAAGCAAAAGTTCAGACTAGTGATTAGCTGAATCAGTAAAGAAAAATTAACTAAAGAGACAGGGACTTTAGAATATCAGAAATGGGGCAGGCATTGATGTAATAGTTGAGCTACTGTTTATGATGCTGGCATCTCATGTTGAGTGACTGGGTTTGAGTCGTAACTCAAACTTTGAATTTGAGCTTCTTGCTAACACAAACATTGGGAGACAACAGGGGATGGATAACCACATGGGAACCTGTATTGAGTCCTGACTCCTGGCTTTGCTCAGATCTCAGATATTATTCACTCCTGTCTTTCTGCCAGCCCATCCTCTCTCATTGCTCTAAAATTTGGCCCACTATCCCGTACTCTTTTCTTCATGGAGAAGACTGTTCATAATGATGGCTCCATTCTGTTATCTGTGTTACGTATACTGTGACATTTAAATTTTATTCTGGGCCTCTCACCTAACCACAGGTAGTAATTGAAGTGCTAATATTACTGCTATGTTAATATTAACACTGTTATTCTTACTCCTACAAATGTTTTAGTATGTGTCAGATATTAAGGCAAGCAGCTTTATTTATTTTAAGTCTCTTAAGAATTATGGGGATTTTTTTCAGCCACCCATCCCCTTATTATTTGGTGAAAAAAGGCATTTGGAGAGAAAAATATAGATCTATGAAGTGATAGACCAGAAGTTCAAAACTGGACAATCTGACTACAAAGCCAAAACTACTGGCCCCTGGATACACTTGCCTCTGAAAGCCACATGCTGGCTGTTCCTTGCAAACATTCCTGAGCCTCAGACTCGGACAGAATTAGGCACATGGTAAGTATAAATACGTGCTAAATGTAAACCCCTCACACCAATACAAACACAGATCCTTTTCTGCCCACTATCTACTATCCCCCAAATTCTCTTTCTGTTCTTCCCACTTATTTATGTTCCAAGTGTCCCTTCCTTGTTGATCTATTCCCTTCCCAAGACCCCTAAACAATGTCATCAGCTAACAATGACCTATTATCGATCATGTCCCAAGTAAGGATTTTACACTCCAACCCTCAGAGGCAAGTCTCCCTATTATCCCCGTTTTGCCACTTAGAGACAGGGTAAAACTTGAGAAGTCTGATGCCATCCACACTCCTGACTCTTCAAATTCTATTGCTGTGGCAAGTAAATGGACTCTGGAACTTTCCAGGCAGTCTTTTGAGGCT